AAGGTGGAACTGACCCGACTAGGACCCCAAACATCTGAATGGACTAAAGTAAAAGGTGACTCTGCTCGATTATCAAGACGCCGAGGGAAATGGGAGCGGGTATGCTTACCGAGCTGACATGACTCACACTCTAGAGCTGACAAGTGAGATAAACCAGATACCATTTTCTGAAGTTTTGACAAACTGGGATGTCCCAACCGTTTATGTAATAAATCTGGTGAATCAGTAACAGGACAAGTTGTAGAAGGAAGACAAGATGTGAGTCCATGTGATTTAGCAAGTATAAGGTAATAAGGTCTGTTTGATTAACGCCCGGTACCAATGATCCGCCTTGTACTGCGTTCCTGCATAAAAACATGATCATCAAGAAATAAAACAGCGCATTTAAGTGATTTGGCTAGGCGACTAACAGCTATGAGATTAAAAGGACTATTGGGAACATAAAGGACTGAATCTAAAGGTAAGAAAGGAAGTGGGCTTGCTTGACCTATTGCAGTTGCCATGGTTTGAGACCCATTGGCCATTGTGACTTTTGGAAGAGATTGAGAATACGAAATAGTAGTGAAAAGAGATTTGTTACCAGAAATATGATCTGATGCACCTGAATCAATGACCCAAGACTCAGAGGATGAAGATTGAGAGAAACAAGTCACGTTATTACCTGTTTGAACAACAGAAGGTATCTCAGAAGATGTATGCTTACATGCTTTATACTGAAGGAACTCAATATACTCTGCTAAAGAAACCATCCGACTATTCAAAGCATCGGTTCCCATGTCGCTACAATTTGTAGTAGTAGGGTTAACTTGAAATAGTGGAAATAAGTAACTCCTGTGAGAAAACTGAAGAAATAACTTGAAAAACACTGTTTACAGCAGGGAAACTGAACATTGTTCTATGCCGGAAACACTGTTCACGCCGGAAAATTCCAAAGTTGTCGGAATTTGTCGTAACCAGGATGGATAAACTCGGAATTCCTTTGCGAGCAAGCTGTCCTGAAGAAATGTTTTCAAAAAATGGCCGGAAAGGTCACTTTTCACGCCGGAAAAATATATAAGTGGTCGGAATTTGATTTGAATTAGATGGGTAGGCTCGGAATTTTGAGGAGAGCACACTGTCCTGAAGAAGCTTCGCGAAAAAAATGGCCGAAAGGTGGCCGGAACCCTCGCCGGAAAAGTTGTTGTTGCCGGCGCGTGGAGGAGTGTGGCGGCTTTTCTGACGGATAAAATTTCAGGGGTTAGTCGTCGGAGGGTGATCTACCCCGTGGTGGTGTTGGTTTTAGCACAACACCGACAGAAAGTGACTTTCACTCAGACAAGCCTTAGGTCACCGGAAAAATTGCACGATGACTAAGTTCTTTCTTACCGGTTAACGCTGGAATGACGCACAACGATCTTTTCTCACTAATGTTCTGATACCATGTGAGAAGGCACGGGAGAAAATATGTTATTGATATTGGATGATAAATACAATACAAGAGGTCCCTATTTATAGCTATACACTACAAGGAGATATTACTCCTCTTCCAATGTGAGACAAGACTACTATACATAGCTGTAAACTAACAGTCTCTCCTTAGTAATTGTATACCCAAGGAATTATCTAAATTCCAAGCCACAGGCACACGCACAGTTCTTTTATATTAACAGGAAGATTTAGAGGGTGTTGGCGAAGAGAAGATAAGCCCTAGGTATCATCAAGGGGCAAACCAGTTTGTAGCTACAGGCATCTACAGCACTTCTTTTAAATTTTGGTGTCCATGTTTTGCTTGTGTTTGGGTGGGGAGGCAGAATATAAGTCAACTCAAGTTGAAATCAAACCAATAATTCAATTTTTTACATGTTACAATAACCAGTAGATCGACTCTCTAAAAAATTGAGTTCTCAGTTTTGGAAGAGACCCCCCATCAAAAGAACCTAGATGCTTAACAAAAAACAAAGCTTGTGAAGCTGTAACCTAGCCTAACAGTTGATTGTATAAACTTTTTACTAGCTAGCTTGCCATAACAAATTATGCCTCAACGTCTCCGAACCAATAGCTTTAGAGATGCTAAACATTCAATTAGCATACGACTATAAACAGATGTGCAATGCACAAATATAAGCAAGAAGTGGAAATGCATTGAAAAGGGTACCATGGCTGGTGATTTAAATTTAATTTATCACATCATATAAAGCTAGTCCGAGTTGACAGCTTATTATTACAGGCAAGATCACATCCTTATTATGGCATCAAGTGAAAAAGAAAAGCACACAACACTACCCAGGGCAGAACGATGCTCTGCCACCAAAAAAATAGTTACTTTTAAGTCCCGCGGTTAATTAACGATATAATGCAACAAATAGCAGAAGCTTCCACATTTAATTTTCCTTTTTCCGTTAAAGAATTGTCTTTTCCAATCCAACTCAACATTTTCAAAAGACTACCTTTTGTATTGATAAGAAAATGCTGATACAGCATCCAAGGGGTGGCCTAGTGGTCAATGAAATGGGTGAGAACCATGAGGTCTCAGGTTCAAATCCCAGGCAACTAGTTGATTTCTTCCCACCTATCAAAGGTACCTGGTACTTGTTGCTGGTGGGAGGTGGCAGGTATCCTATGGAATTAGTCGAGGTACCCGCAAGCTCGCCCGCACATCAGGGTTATAAATAAAAAATGCTGATACAGTCAACGCTCAAACGAAAAATAGCCATTAGTCAAGCTATGCCTCGATCCGAATTAATTAAAGTCAGCTATACGATTCCTCTGTATAGGTTCCTCTCTATTTAAATGCATTTCATTCCGGTACGAAATTATTCATATAGAAATATATGACATCTGAATATAACAATACACAACTGCCTATGTAATTCAACAGAGAATCAGATTTAGCAATAAGAAATTGAATTGAAATTGAGAAATGACCTGTTGAAGTCGTTGTTGCATCTGCAATCGATAAGAACGGATTCGACGCTCTTCATAGCCTGAAAGAACCCTAATATAGAACATTGCTTTCCTCCCAAATTCTAGAAGCTTCTTCATCTTAGGTAATCAAGTTTCAGCTCCCAATATTATTTACAGAAAGCGTGAAATGATTAGCGGCTTTATTTTTTCAGGTTTGAAGAATTGGATTCATAGTCGAGCTGAAGCTGAAGCAGCCTCACTTTTAGATGTCGCTCCGCTGCGTTTCGTGCGTTCTTTTGGTGAAAGTTCAGAAAATTACTTATTTTCTACTTTCTAGGAATTGTTTTGGCGGAAAAATGAGAAAAATAGTCTCTTATGTTTTGGCTTAGGTTTAAAATAATCCCTCAAGAATACCCTTGAACTGTTTTGGTCCTTTAATTTGCAAAAGTTGAGTAATTTAACTCCGTCAATTATATAACAAACTCTAGCTCCAGTAATTGAGTGATGATTCTCTAACTACTATGGATTCAGAAAGCTCAACATCAGTCATTTGTATGATGCTCTACATGGTTTTGAACTATGCAATGAAATTATTTCAATGACAATTGAGTCAAATGATTAAATTAGAAAATTAAGAAAAATTGAGATAGAAAGATAAATTTACCTGAAATACAAAGAACTCAAAACTTCATGAAAAATATGGGAATATGATAAGCGGCTCTTTATCGCTTTTAAATGAAGAAGATTAAAAGGTTTTGTGATTAAAACTGGTTAAGTTTAACTACATTTTAACTAATGGCTTACCATAAAAAGGATGACCAATAAGTGACCAACCCGTACCATTTTACAAATATTAAGAGGTTGAAATTGGTTTGGCAACAGGTGAAAGAATGGATTAACAATGAAAATAAGGACCAAAACTTTTTTTTATGTAGCGGAAGAAAAGAATGTAAAAATTTATTGATATTTGATGCGTCATTAACGTGACATTAACATATCTCATGTGGATATCACTCTAACTATGAAATTGATATTATATATCTTAGGGTGATATTAATTTTATTTAAAATAAACATAGGAGGTACCTAAAGTCTGTATTTTTCTGTACAAATTTAATGGATAACTTATATATTTTTATTGAATTTATTCAAAATTGAATTGAAGTAATTGAAGACACATTCCTTCTTAAACTGTATGCCCATTAATGTATTTACATTAAAAATCATCGTGTCACTAGACCATTATTTCCAAGCATGTTAATTGTTGTAAGATTTAGAGTGCCCAAAATGTAAAACTTAACCAGCTTCACAAATATCTTTTTAGATACTCCTAGCAAAGCGTACGTGTTCGTGCTTCTCACTCCGTTTCAATTTAGATGAGCTAGTTTGAATCGGTACGGAGTTTATTTTTTAAAAAATAAAGATTTTTATAACTTGTGGCCTTAAAAATTTAAGGAGTAAAAGTTTTGTGAAGTTATGACATTTGTATGATTATAAAAACTTCTTATTAAAGATAAAATAAGTAAAATAAAAATTTTAAAATTAAATTATTTCTAATTGTTAAAATGTATAAATGTGTCACCTAAATTGAAAACTTACAGTAGAAAACCAAAAACAGTTTTATCAATTCTTGGAAATGTATAACCAAAAGCAGCCGCCATTTTAATCTCTTCCGGACTGGATCCACGACTGAACGTTAAGCTATTGGCCATGCAGTAAATGAAGACAAAAACAAAGTGCACGTGACGATCCTCACGGGCCTTTCCTCAACGGTTTTGCGTGGCGCCGAACCATTACCCTGACCAGAATTTCAAAACCGACACGTAGCATTTTCCTTTGCTTCACGTCATCTCTCTCTCTCTCTCTCTCCCGCCACCCTTCCATTTCTCACACACACACAGTTGGAGGAAATTATGGGTGAATTCCCCGAAACTATGATTCCCTATCTGAACCCGGTTTAGTGAATTTCCTATCTTTCTGCAAAATCTATGTTTAATCAAAAAAAGAAAGAAAGAAAGAAAGAAGTTGTCTCTGATCAACGTGGCTAAGGTGAAATTTGGATTAATTTCTAGGGTTTATACGAGATGGCAGGGAATAATGATGTAATGAAAGGAAACCCACCTGGGATTTTGCTAATAAGAAGCATGAGAGGTAAAGATTGGAGTCTAAAGACGTACAAATACGTGGTTTTGTTGATTACATTCATAGCTTATACATCTTACCATGCTTCAAGAAAACCCAGTAGTATTGTCAAGAGTGTTTTACATCCACACCCATTTCTCAACATAACGGTTTCAAATCCATGGCCTATGGGTCCAGTTTTCATAAAGAATGAAACTTTGGTTCCTATTGATTTGGTTCATTCAAAAAAGAAAGGCTGGGAACCATTTAATGATGAGGATGGTACGTCGAAATTAGGGGAAATTGATGTTGCATTTCTTGCATGTTATTCAATAGGAATGTACGTGGCTGGACATTTAGGGGATTCATTGGACCTAAGGTTGTTTTTAACAACTGGTATGATTGGAAGTGGCATTTTTGTGGGGTTATTTGGTATGGGTTATTTTTGGAAAATACATGCTTTTTGGTTTTACTTGCTTATGCAAATGGTTGCTGGGTTATTTCAGGCTACTGGCTGGCCTTCTGTTGTTGCTGTTATTGGTAATTGGTTTGGGAAAAGGAAAAGGGGATTGATTATGGGTATTTGGAATGCTCATACCTCTGTTGGGAATATTAGTGGATCCCTTATGGCTGCTGGTGTTTTGGAACATGGATGGGGTTGGTCTTTTATTGTTCCAGGAGCGTTTATATTTTTTGCGGGGATAATCGTGTACTTGCTATTGCCTGCTTATCCGGAAGATGTTGGATTTCCTTGTCCTAATCGTCCCTCGTCTGTAGAGGATTTGTCTGCGACTAATGATGAAGAAGCTCAGACAGTGAAAGAAAATATGGTTGAAAATGGACATGACAATGTCCGTCGGCCTGGTTCAGGAAATAGGAGAAGTGTTGGTCTTCTTGATGCTTGTCTAATACCAGGAGTGATTCCATTTGCACTGTGTCTTTTCTTCTCAAAGTTGGTAGCATACACATTTTTGTACTGGTTGCCGTTTTACCTTAGTCGAACAGGTATCGCTGCTTGCATTTATGAATTGTTTGCTATACTTGGTTCTTTGTGTGTGATAGGCATCATTCTGAAGCATTAAAGATGTCCAAGAAGCCTACAGATTGCAACAATTATCTAAAATGGTATTACCTAGGTTTGAAGTTAGATTTCGTGACTGCTAGTTTTTCCACTTGCAAGTTCATTTGTAATAATTTTTGTTTCTGTGAGATATTTTGGAGTGTTCGTTGCTGATAAGGAGGGAATTTTGATAATGGAGCTTTTGAGTGTTGAAAGAGAAAAGATTCGTGTATCTTTTGTAAATCTCTAGAATGTAGCTTTTCTAACTTTCAATCTGATTAAGGAGCATGGCATCTTTAAATATTGGAACTGCAGTGCAGTCTATGCTTCTAACAGCAAATCAGAGCTACTGATCATATTTTTCAATTGGCTGTATTTACATTGCATACAGGAGTGACACTCTTCTCCTTAACTAATCAGTTTCTCCTTTCCCTTTTTGGTGAAATCCCAAAAATGATGAGCACCTGAACAGGACAAGGGTCAGGTTGCATCAGTATACCAACATATGTAGAATATCCCACACAAGCTCATTAGTTCTGGCCTAGCTAACAAACAATGTTGGCACTACATTCTAGTGCAAAATGGCTTCTAGATAAGTGAAAAGCTGCAAAGTACCAGACTTATACATGTTTTAAATAATTTGAAGTTGTCATCTGAGTGTTTGAACTTCTGATTATGCAGATATTAGTTTGAGGATTCACTAGTTTAAGTTAAGATGCATATCAGAATATCCGAAAGGCTGTACCTAAGCAAACTGCACAACTTCCTTGAAGGATTGCTGGCAATGTAGTGTGTTCTAGTTCAAATTCATAATTTAAAGTCTAGAAGATAGAGAAAAACTGTATGTTATGATGATGGATATCGCGGCTTCAATAGCTGTTAAGGTTCACTTCTTGATTGAAGCTTGTTAGAAATGCTTGTTGGTTATATACTTGCTTTTACATCAAGTGTTTCCCGGGTGCTAACAACTTAAAGTAACAGTTCTCCATTTTCTATACTTGTTCCCCTTATCTTTTAGAAGTGTTGAAGATATAAAAATCTACCCGATGGACTTTAGACTACCTAGAATAATTATCTTTTTGTTTGTGAAGAGTATCAATTTCCATTCTACTTTGAAGATTCATTGTCAGATTTTTTTATTTATTTATTTTTTTTTTGTAAATTTCGACATCATGGTCATGTTCCTAATCCTGGTTCTTGATAATCTCTTTACAGCTATAGGGGGAGAGTATGTTTCAGTGAAATCTGCTGGGAATCTCTCTGCTTTGTTTGATGTTGGAGGTATAGTTGGTGGAATTCTAGCTGGACATCTATCCGACAAGCTTGATGCTCGTGCTACTACAGCAGCCAGCTTCATGTATGCAGCAATTCCTTCTATGCTTTTGTATCGCAAATATGGAAGTGCATCAAAGCTCATGAACATTTTGCTCATGATGATAGCTGGGTTGTTTGTCAATGGACCTTATGCGCTTATAACAACTGCAGTGTCAGCAGATCTGGGTACTCACAGCTCCTTGAGAGGAGATTCTCGAGCACTAGCAACAGTTACTGCCATTATTGATGGTACTGGATCTATGGGTGCTGCTCTAGGTCCTCTTTTGACAGGTTTTCTTTCAACAAAAGGATGGGATGCAGTTTTTATAATGCTTGTTGTTGGTGCACTTAGTGCTGGTCTTCTTTTATCTCGTTTGGTCGTATCTGAACTGAGTGAGAAGTTTTCTAAACGCCTACCCTATGGACAACACAATAGCGGAGGTAAAATTTGTCTCCATTTGTGTGTCTGTTTTTCATTTTATCTTTGTTCAACCGTGTCTATCATCCTTATTTCATTAGCATGCTGATTTTAAGATTGGAGCAGCAGGACAAAATGAATTAGACACTCTTTGTTTTATCCCAGTTCACAGCAAGAAAAGTAACTTGCAATAGTGTTTTATTTATATATCTTGCTATGTTACCTTTATTCCAAGAAACAAGTAACAGAAACAAGTAACAATGAATATTGCTATCGTGTTGCCGTCTAAACTTGGTAACAATCTTTATTATCTGCTAGTGGTTTATTGTTGTCAAGTAAGGGGTTACATCTGTTCTAAGCAGCAGCTATGTCTGGCACTTTCAAACTTTTATGACCTAAATGTACCAAGTGTATCCTTATTAATTTTTAGTTGGATTAGTTAATGACAGAAGCTGCCTGTTTTTATCTTCTGAACAAGCCTACAAAGTCAAAATCTTTTATCCTTTTATATGAGTTTCTGTAGATAAAAATTCTAGTCTAGATATTATAGCTTTATCCTATATCACTGATAAAAAAAAACCTGTATTAAACAATTTCTTGTTCCCTGGTATTCATGTTCATATCATATAGGCTCCTGGAGTAAATCCTGAAGCTAGTGGAGTTTGAGACTTTAATATTAAATTTAGTAGGTCCTAATCGTGCTGTAGATCCCGGTGCATGTGCGATGTATTGTGTCAGTAATATGCTATAGCATTTCCAGTGAAGAATGGAAATTTTAACAGCACCTTGATGCTTGTGTTCTTACTCCAGAGCAGTAGTTCAGTCTGAGTTCTATATACTGGTGTACTCCTATATGATTATCATTTGCATGGGCTGAAGAATGTATCTTACCAATCAAAAATTGATTATTACTTGATCTCCTTTTGTCTATGTTTTATCCAATCCCCTTATATCTCACACTTAATTACCTATTTGTTCACTGCGAAAGTTACCACGCCTAATTGACTCCAGCTTCAAATGAGTTGAGCTCCTCCTCCATCTCTATCGTGAACACACATGAGGAAATGAAAATACAAGTATTATTTTGTTGTATGCTCAATATATTTCCAGATGGAATTAAAATGCATCAAGATTGAGTTTCTGCCAGAATTGGATCATTCCTTTTCAAAAACAAATGCATAATATACTTGCATGGTGAAGTGCATCAGAATCTGCAGTGATGCGAGTGGTTGATCTTACTCTGGCAAAAGTGTTTTTTTCTTTTGTTTATCTTTTGTCCATTTCCCAGTAATTCTAAGAGTTCGACACTTCTGCAACTTGTATCCTATTCCNAGCACATGGTGAAAGCTTACTGGTTTATATGTCTCCTTCCTTGTGCAGTAATTACAGATATATTTGGAGTAGATGTACATCTTGCTCTGTGTTTTGAGAATCTTACTTCAGAAATTGTCGTGTTGCTTCATCATTGCGTAATTATTATATGACGACAATGAAAAAGTTATTTCAAGTTATTAATCCTATCTGCATATCATTTTGCTAATGCCTATGATCAGGGTTAAATCCCTTCTAGCTCTCTAGTTTCTGTACATATTTGCAATTTGAAGCACCTATAAAGCACTCATAGATATGTTTCAATCCTTAACTTGCAGACATTTGTTTTAGGAAATTGTTATTTAGAACTTTTTAGGTGATTTAACCTTGCAAAATGAATAACACGGCTATTAAAGAATGCATCTTGCTCAGTACTTTCTTGCTTTTGTGCTATTACTACTGAGTTTCCTATGATATGGGAGAGGAAGGATGAACTGCAGCAACAGGGGTTAGACTCCTTTTCTTCGTGTTTTTGTGATGTCAATATTTGTAGTTGAAACAATGTTAAAGCCTCCAGGCAAAGTGTTGCAATCTCCAGAAACTCTTACGAGTTTTAAACTTACAGACAGTATGCTGGGACATGGTTCTATCATCTGGCAGTCTTTGTTATAATTTGAAGTGTCAACTGTTCACGTAAATCTTTGGAAATTTCTTTTGTTTTGAAATTGATTCACTATGTGGAGTTAGTGTAAATGAAATTTTCTGACATATTCTAACATGCTATTTCGTGAGCCATTTATTTGCTTGCGACTTTGCATAAGATGTTGCTATTATCTGGTTGTCTATTAATAGTTCTGTATTTTGCCGAAGGGGGAGGGAGTCATTGTTTTGACAGTTTTTTCCACGTATTAATTCTTTCCTTTTTGGAGTATATTGTTTAGCTTGTTCTCTATTCCTCGATGATTGTAAGTTCTGCTTATAATTTTCAACATTTTGAATCAGTCTTAGTCTAAGAAAATTGCTTCTTTTTGCAGGTTCTGCATCTCAACCCCTTCTAAGTGACCAAAAATAAGGACTGGTCAGGCATCATCGTCTCAAGAAACATGGAGAAATGTTGGCAGATACAGGTACTACCTCTATGTGAAATGCAAGCGAAAAATCAAGATTGTGAAACAGCCACTGGAATCAACGGGATGCCACTTTTTCATCAACATTGCCATTAACTTTGATATGCTTTTATTTGGCGATTTATGGGTGCTTTTGTAGCTCGTTGGAGTTGTTATTGCCCTGAACATAGTCTCTTGGTACATGTCTAAATGAAACTAAGGCATTTCTTGAGGTTTTTCTATTGCGGTTGTTGCTTGTTATCTGAGATATATATTCAAGGTTTAACCAGACGTGTCTGTTAGTTAGACTACAGCTGATATTACCTTTCTTCCTATTCCAGGAAAGAGGACATGTTGATAAAATAAAGTGAGGCTAGACTATGTCTACATTCTACTATTCTTTTCTGAATGAGTTGCATTTTCAAAAGAAACTGAGCATTATATTGCATGTAGTTTTGCATAGGGTTCAAGTATTCCAGTAGAAGAAAGTTGTTAATGTATACCACCTCTGGAGTCAACTATTAGAACTCTCAACATCAAATTCAAGATCCTAAGACTTGTGTAATTCTGTTGGCTCTCGTGCACCTATGCATGCTGTTTTTAGGGAAGTTTAACTAGAGCAACTAAGGGGATCGGAATATGTGGTCACTGGTCACTGTTAGGTCGTTTTCGTTTTCCAATGTCAATATACGTGCGAGCATTACTTTAGTTCGAAAACATTTGTTTTACAAATACAAGAAATTATTTATTACTATTTTTTTCTAGATTTACTCTTCCAATAAACAAGTGTTAATTAAGTAAAACATTTAAGGAGAGACGAGTGATAGTAAAAACAAATACTCTTATAATTAAGTTTTTTTATATGTCATTCATATTATCGTCTTTAAAACAAATACTCTTATAATTAAGCTTTTTATATGTCATTTTTAAACGGCGTAAATTTTTTTAAAGACGATAATATGAATCAAAGGGAGTAAGACTTGCAACGAGTGTCTTTTTCCCCCCAAATCGATGAATGAAATGCAGACACATCCAAACCCCACATGATTGGTGTTGTAGTTAGGGTTGAAAAGCTTTTATTTGGAGAAAAATGCGTATGTAAATTATTTTTCAGAAAAAAATATTTTTGGAGAATACTTGTTTCTAGTTTTCGAAGAGAAAACTACCTTCAACTTGTTTTTGGGTCAGGGAAAATATTCTGATCAGGATGGTGAACAAAGCAATTTTTTAGACAAAGATAGTCGCTTTGCAATTTGGAAAGCTTTTTCTTATAGTAGCTTTTATAATCCAAATGAGGCCTATTACAATCTTAATTTGATTTGATGAACGGACATGGACCTTAAAAGACGTATTTTCAAAAATATATTATTTTATATTTTACTTCTTACTTGTTAATGTGCCACCACGTTTATGTCAAAATCAGTTCCATTTTGATAAACATGACCAATGTGCTATGCATTTACAACAGAAAAAGGAGTGCTCAACCACAAACTTTGCAAAGTTTTGAGTAGACTGTCCTCTCTATATATCCACGTTAAACAAATACCTCAGAACACAAACTTCCTCTAAAACCTTTGTACATTCTATTCAAGAATCCACTCTTGTGTTTCCTGGGAAAGAAGTCAATTTTTTTCACAAGAGAGTCATGGCTACATCATGTGTCATGTTAGTGCTCTCCCTTTCCTTTACATTTCTATCTCTCTTTGCTGCACAAGCACCCACAATGCCGCCGTCTAGCATGGCAGCCCCACCGACGATCGCCATGCCTCCTTTTATGTCACCAGCAGCACCAGTGGCATTTCCTCCAACAATGAGTCCTGGTCCATCAGTTAGCTCATCACCAGCCCCAGGTGCACCTGATATGGCACCCCTCATGCCTGCCTCTCCTCCTGCACCCATGGGACCGGGGCCTGTGTCGGCACCGGCTCCTGCACCTACTGATGCTGTGTTGCCATCAAGTGCTTTTGTGCACAGAAGTAGCATGGCAATGGTAGCACTTATTGGGAGTGCAGCACTCTTCTTCTAAGTTGATGCTCATTATCTTTCACATTTGCTGTAGATTGAAAATATGTTTACCTGTTTGTGTATTCTTTATTGCATTTTAATATACTTTACAGTGTTGTTTTTCATTTTTGTTGTTTCACTTTGTCCTTGATTCTTGAGGATCATTCATGTATGTGAGTTTAAGGAATGATGAGGAGTCATTTATCAATTGTTACTTGTTACAGCTATCGTGTAACATTTTCACTCAGCTAAATAAAAGACACTGTTCTTACATGTCTTTCCAGCGCTATTTCTACTTCTTTGGAACTTGAATTTCATGTAAATTTCCAAGCAAATACTAGTTCAAAAGCCAAGATTGACTTCAGTCTAACACTAGATCTCCAAATATCAGCCATAATCTAAGTAAAGAGAAAGCACCTGATTTTCTTTCTGTTTTCCAGCATTCTGGGGATAAAGTTAAAACGAATTATCAAAACAAATGAACATACGTTCATCGCGGAGTATATGCATATGTAGAAAGAGAGGGGAACGCACGCCAGAAACCTGAAAGTAGTAGACTGCACCAAGTAAGAGTACCTTTCTTTTTCTAACATCCTACATACACTTTTTTGGCTTTAAGCTTTAATCCAGATGCTACTTATTTGCATGTGCTTAGCTTTCATACAACAATAAAAAATCAGTTGCAAATCCGCAAAGGCAAAAAGAGAAGGTCAGCTTTTCGATTCAATTGCTCGGGTGATGTAGAAAAAACCCGTAAGATATTCATCATCTTATCGAAACAAAGAAAAAGAAAAAGAAATTACATTCATCGTCTCCTTTGTTTTCTACGGCACTCAAAACATTCAGTACATGGAAACTTACTTCCACTAGAGTAGCTGGTATGGAGTTTACTGGGCGAGACTTTCAAGTCTTTCACTAGTATCTGGCGAAGCTTTTCATTTTCCTGCATGAGCTCGTCAATCACTTGCTGGTGTTTCAACACCTACCATGCACCAAATTTATTTTCAGTACTTCACACGCCATATAAACATAAATCAACAGAGATTAAAAAAAAATTCACGGCCATTTCAGCAGTTAAACAATTGAATAGATAAATTTATTCAGAAAAAGAAACAAAAGCAGTGATAAACTGAGTTAATACGTCGTAAACAAATTCATCTGCGAGGGAGAGGAGAGAAAGGGAAAAAAAGAATCGTTTACTAGGTTTTAGTAATGTAAGTCAATATTCTATTAAGGACATCGTTAATAAGTGGTCTAATCAGTCTTCCTCATATTACAATCTACTTGCAAAGTTGGGAAAAGGCCCAAAAATGACCTTGTGGTATTCGAAATGGATCAATTATAACCCCCGGTTAAATTTGAATCCAAAAATGACCCTGCCGTTATAAAATGGGTCTAATAATGCCCTTGTGTTATTCAAAATGGATCAATAATGCCCTGGATTTTTTTTTTATTTTTAAAAATGCTTTTAAAAACTGAAAAATATATATTCTGTAAAAACTAGAAAAAGAAAGGAATTTGCAAAATATATATTTTTAAGTCTTTTCAGTTTTTTTAAAGTATTTATTTTGTAAAAACTGAAAAAAAAAATATTAAAAAACTGAAAAAAAAAACTCTCCTAAAGCAGTGGACTACATATGCATTAGTTTTAAAAAAATAAAAATATTTTGCAAAATCTTTTTTTTTTCAATTTGACGGTTCAATATTTTTTCGGTTTATTTTTGTAAAATAAAAAATCTACCATAATTATCGGTACAGTTATAAATTTATATAAAAACATACGGTTTTATTAAAAAAAACCTAAAAATCGGTTCGGCACGGTACGATTATGTCGGTTTAGTCGGTTTTTAAATATTCATTTACAATTATATGTCGGTTTTTTTAAAAAAATAAATTTCCAGTTTTTAAAATTTTTTTTTTTCAATAAATTTCCAGTTTTTTAATTATTTTTTTTCAGTTTTTACAAAATAAATACTTTAAAAAAACTGAAAAAACTTAAAAATATATATTTTGCAAATTCCTTTCTTTTTCTAGTTTTTACAGAATATATATATTTCAGTTTTTAAAAGCATTTTTAAAAAAAAAAAAAAATTCAGGGCATTATTGATCCATTTTGAATAACACAAGGGCATTATTAGACCCATTTTATAACGGCAGGGTCATTTTTGGATTCAAATTTAAACGGGGGTTATAATTGATCCATTTCGAATACCACAAGGTCATTTTTGGGCCTTTTCCCTTTTAAGTTTAAAAAAGGAAAAGGAAAAGAGTTGGCTTCTAAATAAATAGTCAAAGTGAAAGCTTACAATATGAAGAAGGTTGTTCTCTGATCTCAAACGCTCCGACTGCAAACATAGAATTAACTAATACATGTTAGCAACCTCCTATTTCTATTAACAATTATCAATCTAATCCTTAGCACAATATACAACAAATATAAAAAGACCTTACAAAATTACGCTTAATGTATAATGTTATAAGAAATGTGTTTCATCTTCACATACCAGCTCATTTGCTGTACTGCCTTCATCCTTCAAAAGTGAACTCTGCAAAAAATTACTAAGAACCTTCTCAGTTCGACTGCTATATGTTGTATTTGAAGAGCTGACATTAGTTTTTGAAGTTTCATTTTCATGAGAAGATAGAGAACTTGTGTTTGTATCTGTAAGCAAGCCCAGAGAAGAATTATGAGGGACCTTCACTTCAAGTGAATTGACACTTCCCAGTGGATTCTGATTAGAGGCTTCATTGATCGTCCTCATGCCAGCTTGCAAGGACGGTGGAAGGATGCCTTGACCAACAGACAAGCCGGTCGACATTCCAGACTTCATCATTAATTTAGTCATGGCTTGCTGCAGATTGAGAGAAGTTATGTTAAAACCTATGAAAGTGTGGAGGATGAGGGCAAACTCAGCAGATAGCGGCAACAAGGCTATGGAGAGAATACATACAATTAAAAACAACTGAATCTGATCCACTACTCCGCGCTTCACAGCAAGACCTGACATACACCACCAAGATTTTGCTATTTAACAACAGAAATGTTTAGAAGAATCTGCCATAACACAACTTTATAAAATAGAGTCTTTGTGATTCAGCTATTTCCTTTTTCTTTCTTCCATTATATCATTCCCAGAGTTTGTGACCACAATTAGTACCAAGCCTGTGGTTCAGAGATGACACAAGTTTACATTCCAATAAGCCCAATTAGCTTTGACTAAGGTATCTATCACTCAAACAGTTAACTCTTCCGTTTCTTGAAACACCCATGGAAACCTGGCCACGATCAACAGATCTTTTAAGTCTTCAACTCAATATCCTCTTAAGTAAAGAGTGCACATAAAGTGGTTACCAACATCACCGTAGACTGTAGTTTAGTAATTTTCCACTTCAAAAACTAATCATCCTCAATGCAAAATATAACCTTTAACAAAGAAAGAGTAAGTCTACATACCAACACCAAAACCATGTCCAAAACCTACTCCACATCCAATGCCTGCTTCAATGCCTTTTGCCCCAACCTTCCTCAACTACAGAAAAGACAAAGAAATGAAAAAACCATCACAAGAACAAAATTTTAAGGTATATTGATCACAATACTATGTGAAGACAATTCAACAAATTAACATACAGAATTATTAACATGTCTTCCAACTCCAGAAAATGCATCTGTTGCGCCCCTAGTGGCAGTCATAACTTGATTTAGCATTGGTATTGCACCTAAAAACAAGGTAAAATTAGTGATAAAGAGATATCAATTTAAAAGAACAGAAAGTCCTATAATTTAGAGTATCTCATATCATAATCCCTTTCATGCTTAGATACTAGGGATCCAATAATCACAAGAACACAGAAAGGCTGAACAGGATTAGATTGTTATTGACACCAATACAATGGTGTGACTCACAAATTAGCAAGCTGATAAAACCACACAAACTGCATACAATTTAGATTGCTCAATCACACATCACATTTATCCATGTATAGCATCGTACAACAGATCAATGACTCATGTTCTCAACATTGTATAGCATCCAGAAATCACCTAGTGTTTATGCTTCCGGTGGGATTTGAGCAAACAATGCAATATTACATTACATCAAATAGCACAAAACATGCAGAAATTGGATATCAACCACTACCAACAACATAAAGATTTCAACTTTACACATTTCAAGTCATTAACAAACAAACACACCAAACAAAATTAGAACCCCTAAATGAATTACTCGAATTCTTGGGTTCCCGTTCTTTAGGTTTCCAAAAATCTTCAAATTTCATGTTTTTTTTTGGTTAATGAGAAGAAAAGAGAAGGAGTGACGAGTACCTAGATTTAAAGGGCGACCAACACCAATTCCAATACCACAACCAATGCCAAAGCCAGTAAATACTTGCCCCACCTTCAAAGTAAAAGGATTCTCTATTCTCACCCTTCTTTTTTCTGCAGTAACTATTACGCCATTGCTATTACTACTGCTGCTGCTAGTTGTACTGTCCGTATCCATTAGCACTGTTTCCTTCCCTTTTGTACCAATTCAGTCTTCAGTGTTTTCCCTCTTCTAACAAACTGAACAAAAGTGCAGAGTGTGTTCAGCTAGATTCTTCAAATAGTTGCAGACCCGTTAAGCTGCTTTTCTGTAAGAAAGTATAAATAAGCATATAAATGGGTACGGTAAGTAGAAAAAAGCATTTTGTTTAAAATTTTGAATTTGTGTTAATTTTCTTTATAAATAAAATCAAATATTGTTGGTTTTTTAGAATCGAATCAAATCAAAACAAAACAAATCAAATCAAAGAAAAATTATCTTTTGTTTTGGAGCAAAACAAAGGGCAAACTTCCTGAAAAAATAGATACAATTGTGAATTAAACTTGCGTTACCTTAACAACCAAAAAATCAATATAAACCAGAATTAATAAAGTTTTTTGTTAATTTATTAATAGTTTACCAAATCATTCATATCTCTTATGAAGTAAAAGTCAACATAAACCAAAAATAGTTAATACTAAGTGAAGACACTAGTCTGCAAAACAAAAACCAAAAAAAAAAAAAAAAAAAAAGTTGAAGACGCTATCCAAAAGATCAACACAAATCAGAATTGATAAAGTTTTTTTGTTAATTTATTTATATTTCACTAAATCATTTATGTCTCTTATGAAGTAAAAGTCAATTTAAACAAAAAGAATAGCTAATTAATTGTAAGCGAAGACAGCAGTCTGCATAAAACAAAGATGATAAAAAAACGCTAGAAGGAGGGGTTGAACCTCCGACCTTGTGGTTAACAGCCACACGCTCTAACCAACTGAGCTATTCCAGCTTCATGTTCTTATTAAATAGTACAAATTTTAAAACGTTTGTTATTTTGGAATTTTCTTTAGGTGGTGCTCTTACTTTCGTGAAAAACCATTAAATTGCTAATGTTAGTTAAAATATGGAATACTTTTAAAAAATTAGATAGGAACCTTTAATTTTTATACGTATATAAAAAAAATTAAAATGGACTTTAGTAGTTTATAAAAACTTTGAAAATCTTCTGTGGGTAATGTCGATGAGATCACAAGGAAGTCTGCAAAAAAAAAAAAAAAAAATCCAAACATTTTGCATCTTCTATAAGGACTAGATTTCCCAATAAAATCAGAATAAATCGTCATCATAACTCATATGTGAAGTTTGAGAAATAAGCAAGCTCACTATGTTACTATTCATGTGAGCCTCATGACTCTTGCAACTTAAAATGAGTGTCCACTAACAAAACATATAAATATAAAGAGATAGACCATGATTTTTTTTGGTAATTAAATTTTTTTATTGATCACCAAGTGAATCATTACAAAGCTATACCTCACTTTAGACTCAGTCAGATGTCTCTATACAATATTTATCTTTCCCTATACATCAGTTAACTTCTCACCTCCCCTTTTAACTATTAAGTCAACTAACACTAACATCTATTCAAAATTTTAACTGATGTAATAGTCTCCTAGTTCCAGCATTAGCTCTAACATTGCATACACATGCTATAGTTCTTGCTATTTCATCTATATCTCTTCTGGCCTTCTCAAACACTCGATTGTTTCTTTCACACCATATCATGTGGATTATCTCAGCATATATTATCTTGAAGGCAGCAATTGCTTGAGACTTTCCTTTAGCATTCTCTATTGCCCATCTCCAATGATGGTTCCATGATTTCAGACCATGTGGTTGCATCTGAAACTACATTAGGACCCTGTTCCATATCCTTTGAGCAAAGACACATTTCACAAAAAGATGGTTTCTGCTCTCACTATGTAATTCACATATGATACATACTGTGTCCACTAGCATACCCCATTGTACGAATCTATCACTTGCAAGTAGTTTGTTTTGAAAGAACATCCACATAGTAAACTTAGCTTTGGTTCTTGCTTCATTTCTGAACATGAAGGTCTTCCATTCCACTCTAGGTAATTGCCCCAGTATCTGGTGGTAGAGTTGTCTGATCATGCTGTATTTTTCTTGAGCCATTGTCTGCCTTAGGTCCACTATCTCCCTTGCCCCAATCAGCTTCCTGACCAGCCAAGAAGTATGTTGAGGAATTGGCATGTCATCTGGCTGTTGGTTTTTTATATAATAGGAGTGGATCCACCTAACCCACAACTTATCCACCTTATGTGCAAGATCCCAGTATTTTTTAGCAACTGCAACTTTATTCCATAGTTTCAGGTTGATGAGGTTTAGCCCTCCTGCACTCTTAGGTGTACACATTTTCTTCCAAGCCACCAGTAACCTTCTTGTGATAACATTAGAACTAGATCATACATAACTCCTACAGTAAGCCTCTATTATTTTGAGAACTTTACTGGGATTAAGAACAACTGTGGCCAATAAGCATATATACCAAACATGACTGATTGTACTAGCTGAATCCTTCCTGCATACGACAAATTTTTGGTTGTCCATGAGGAGATTCTAGCTACCATTTTCTCTATTAGAGATTGCCATTGAGCTAAGGACATCTTTTTAGTTGATAAAGGCACTCCTAAATATTTTACTAGGATAATCTTTGCTGCATTTCATCTAGCACTGCTTGTGTAACACCTCCATAATAGATATAACTTTTAGTCTGATTAGCTTGTAGACCTGAGGCTCTATAAAATTGGTTAAGGCATTGTTGAAGCTGAGTAACAGAATGTATATCACCTCTTTCAAATATGAGCAAATCATCAGAAAAACTGAGATGTGTAATACCTAGCTTTGAACATCTAGGGTGAAATTTATACTCATTCTCCTTTTTTAATCCTTTGAGGCTTCTACTCAAGTACTCCATTACAATTGGAAACATGAAAGGTGAAATAGGATCACCTTATCTCAGTCCTTTAGCTGCTGAGAAAGGAACTGAAGGCTCTTCATTCACCATAATTGAGTAGCTCACAGTCTTAACACAAGTTATGACCCAGTGTTGAAATCTTCTAGGGAATTCTAGCTCAACCATGACCTGCTCCAGAAATATCCACTCCACAGAATCATAGGCCTTGGTCAGGTCTATTTTGATCATACATCTAGGAGAAGTGTTCTTCCTTGTGTAAGCTTTGACAAGCTCATGAGCCAAAATGATGTTGTCTGCAATCTTCCTCCCATGAATGAATCCAGCATGTGCTTCACTAATGATGTTTGTTATAACTTTCTGTAGTCTATTCGCTAGCACCTTTGAGATGATCTTATATAGTACTAAGCAACAAGAAATAGGTTTGAAATCTTTTGCTGCTCTAGGATTGTTTAACTTACGTACCAATGTAATTGTAGTGCAATTTATGGCTTTATATAGCTTACCAATAGTGAAGAAATCCTCAATTGCTCTTACTACATCACTTTTGATCATTGGCCATGCTCCTTTGAAGAAGCAAGAGTTATATCCATTCACTCTAGAGGCTTTATCTTCATGTATTGCACACAATGCTGCATATATCTCTTCCTCTGTTACTTCCACACATAAGCTCAAGTGTTGTTCATGAGTGAGCTTAGGTCCATTTTTCATAGTTTCCTTGTTGATAGAAGGAAAAGATGCAACAACAGTTCCCATCAAGCTCTTATAAAATTTAACTATCTCCTCCTTAATACTAGTAGGAGTAGCCAGTTTCATTCCATCGTTAGTGTATATCTCTAGTATCTTCTTTCTTTGACTTCTCTCTTTCATGACAGCAGAGAAGTACTTAGTATTAGCATCTCTTAACTTGATCCATTTCATACTAGCCTTCTGTTTGAGGATACTTTCCTCAATAAGTGACCATTTCTCCAAGTTCTGTAAGATAGTCTTCTCTTGTAGTAGCAAATTGTCTGAGTATTGTAACCTCATTTCCTCCTGAACTTGAACAAGATCAGCCCTGACATTCTCAATTCTCTCAGCAATGCCCTTATACTAAGTAATATTAAGGCTTTTGAATAGAGGTTTCACAGCTTTCAGTTTCTTCCAAATGTTCTCCATTTGATCATCAGCTTCCTTTCTTCTCTATAGATTGCCAACAATTGTATCAAACTCATCATGGGAAGCCCATACATTAAAAAACCTAAAAGGAGTTCTAATGTTAAGTTTCACAGTTTTTATATTGACAAGCATTGGTGAGTGGTCAGAGATTAAAGGTATATCATATTTTGTGTGCACATGACCCTAGTTCATCATCCAACTATCATTGCCAAATATCCTATCAATTCTGCTCACAATCCTTTCTGCCCCTTGTTGATTATTGGACCAGGTGTAGTAGTCTCCTTTCCATGGTAGCTCATTTAGTAATAGATTGTCTATGCAATCAGAAAAGTCAACTATTTCATTCAGTGTCACAGAGTTTCCATACATCATGTCTTGTGTATATAGCATAGCATTAAAATCACCATCTATCAGCCATGACTTGTTTGTGTGTGCAGAGATATCAGCCAGACTTGTCCATAGTTCCTTTCTTTGATCAACTGTATTGAAGCCATATACCAATGTTAGATATGATTCAAATTCATCCAATCTGCCTTTAACTAGGCAGTGTATAATCTGAGCCTCTACTTTTTCAACATCAACACTATACACATTTGGATCCCAGGTGAGCCATATTCCTCCATTCACAGCTTTCTGGTAGTTGCACTGCAATGCCCATCCTGGTAATATGTTTTTAATAACTCTCTTCACATTTGGTTCTTTGACTCTTGTCTCAAGCAATCCAACTAGTTTAATATATTTATTCTTCATGTATGTTAATAGCTATTTCTGCTTGTATCTCTTGTTTACACCCCTAACATTCCATACCAACCAAGTCATTGAGATAGAGAGAGAGGCATACTCTCTGCTATAGGCATGTTATTATTACTCCTTAATCCACCTGTTTTCTCTGAAGTACCAATGTTCCTCTGTACCAGAGCTGGAAATTCCCTGGGACAACTAAGTTCAGGGATTTTATGTTCTTGCTCCTCCTCTCTGATGCTTTCCTTAGCAGGTCCCTTGCTGCTCATCTGGTCCTCCCTGATAAGCAATGCCATCTGCCTCTGTCCAACTTCCTGTTGATAATGCTCACCAGTTGTGGCTTTGGTAGTCACCATAAGCTTAGCTGCCTTATCAGTTTTGTCAACAATTGCTTTTGTTCTCCACTCCTGTATCATCTTTGGAGGTCCAACATCTGTATGTGTTGGCTGGGCATTTTCTCTTGGTCTTCTTCTTCTTCTCCTTAGCTGCATAAAGGTCTGATTCTCAACTTCTTTTTGCTTGTAGTAATGACCTATTTTTAAGCAAACCTCACAGAATTCTGGTTTCCAATCATATTCAATTGATTGTTCAAATTGTCTCCCATCTGGTTCCCATACTAAGACACTAGTAGGAAGTGGCGTTGTAACATTTATTTCAATGAGCATGCGAGCATAGGAAAGCTTTTTCTGTTTTGAGGTACACTCATCAGCATACAGTGGTTTTCCTATTGCACTGGCAATCCTACTCAGTGATTTTCCTCCCCAACAAGTCATGGGTAGGTTTGGCAATACCACCCACATGGGAATATCCTGCAGGAACTCCTTTGTGAAATCAAAATTAGCAATCCATGGCTTCAATATCATCTGTTTGTTATTGATTGTATAAGGCCCAGAATATAAGATTTCTTGCATGTCACTTATAGACTAAAATTTGATAACATAATATCCTTCCTCATGGTAAAATACCTCTAGTTCAGTGACGAGTGTCTAGCGTATATAAAATTCTAACTCGTACTCTGTCAAATAATAGTATAGAAAGATGCGGAACCCACAAAGATTGGTTTATCTATTCTACAGACGTTTCTTATTTTAATTACTATTTGAAAAAATTAGAAAGAGTTGAGTTATAAATTAACTAACTAAAAATGCATGAATAGAGCAATAGAAAATATTTTATTTTTCATAAATATAATAAAAAAGTGTTGGGATCTTGACTTTACTTAATATTTTTATTATATAATAGAATTATTATTCTTCAATTTCTATTTCTCAAAAATGTATAAATACCTCTCACGATTACAAATATATATTATTAATTAAGTTGAATAATTAATTACACTCCTCGGGGTTATACAAATTAATCTTCAAACTAGTAATATTGAAGAACCAGAAATATATGATTGAACTAAAACACGCTCTTGTTAGTAAGTCCCTTTCGGTTACCCTACTTATTATAACTGATTATTATAATATTCGCCTCTCTCGATTACAAATAAGTGTAAAATTAATTATAACATAAAAGAGATAGATGTTACTGAATAAATATTAACATTTATCAATACTACACTTAACTATATTATTTCTTCCACCTCTCTCGATTACAGAATTAATAAATAGTTAATATGTAGTACATGATAGATAGATGTTATTAAATTAAATAACGTCTAACTGTAAAAACAGATAAAAGTTAAATAAATTTTAGCTCAAGCATGTGAATTTGAAGAATAATATCTACTATTATATAGAAATATTAAGATTCGTCTTTCTCCCAACACAAAAAAAATTACTCCATACTAGAATTAATACTAACAATAAAAATATTCTTGTCCATTATAAGAAAATAGAAAGAAATATTCAAGAAAAATAATTCCCCCTATTTAATTAAAAGCAGGAACTAGAGTAATTTCCTACACTGAAATTTATTTAGAAAGAACAACTAAACCACTATTGTGATTTAAAAGAAAAGATAACTCGATACTAGTAAAAGAAATAAAATAGAGAAGCTTATTAAGAATTTGGATTCAGACTTCTAGCTCTAAGCTTTCTCTCTACTGCGATGCCCTACTCTGATCGGGCACCATCTTCTTATATAAGAAAATTTCATGATGACTTCTCGTTTTGGTGCTAGATTTTCATGGCAAATCTAGATTTTGCATTTGCAGATATGAGAATTTGAATTCTCAATTTGGTGCTAGATTTCCATTGCGAAGCTAGATTTTGAATTTGCAGAGATGAGAATTCTGTCATTCTAAGTTTAGATTTCATCGATTTCATCATGACAAATCGAGACTTGGTGCATTGTCACGACAATAATGAATCATAGCTCGATCTTATACTTTTTTGTTATATTTTTCTTGAATATTTTTTTTTTCATGTTGCGCACAACAATTCTTCTATAATTATTCCTGCAAAATAAAGTTAAAAATATGGAGGAAACATGATAATTTATATGTTTTTATGAGAGAAATTATGTGGTTAACATCTGGTAAAATACACTTTTCAAATTCTTCCATACTTAAACTTTTACTCGTCCTCGAGCAAAGAAAACAAATGAACATAGTAACTAAACACTTTAAGTGAAATCATGAGAGGTTTTGACAGAGAAGAATTGACTAAGACCAGTCTACGAGTTCAAACAACTTTCAGTTGTACTCATGTTCACCTATTGAGAATTGAAATCATAATATTTTTTAATCCCAAGTGTATCTCACCGAATGAAGAGAGATGCCCATATGTCACATAATATATAGATACAGGATCAAAGAAGGGCATAGATAAAAAAATACGCTCACTCTCAACAAAGAAGTACCTCAAGCTACTGAAAATAACCATAAGCTTGACTATCATGTGGTTCTCCACTAATATAGGAGTCTCTGAGTTAAGATCATGTAGGACTTTTGCAAGGTTGTAAAGTAGGCTTAGGGATGGGTAGGATACATATAGATAATAGTGACTCAAATTCCCTATGGGCATTACACATTTATTTTATCTCTTAAGTACAATTGCCTTTCATCTTATTTAAATAATAAACCTCTGTTTTGTTTCATCCCTTTCAAAATTTTTATGGAGTCGCCAACTTTTCTTTGTTGCTATTTTTTCTTTTTCTTTTTTGTTTTTTTGAAATTCGTAAGCAACTATTTTTTTTTCTTCTCATGACAACATCTCAAAAGATTGACAACCTCAAACAATTATTCTTTGACCAATTATTTTTATAATTACACCTCACGCCTAGATTTTTACATTCAGATCAACTCTTAAAGTGCCCAAAAGGGAATTGGGTGAACAAAGAACAAGTCATAACAACAAACAGGCTAAGGGTTAAAGCTTGGCGGCCAAGAAAATAAGAAATAATTTATTTAGGCTCAATTGGGCTAACTAGGGATAAAAATTATTAAGGTAGGTCAATTTGGGCTATGGCTCAACAAAGAAGGCCTACGTTCATTTTTTAACTCAAAGATTTACCTAGAATTTTGCCTCAATCCACATTCAAGGCAAGTTTTAGATTTTCAGATAAGCACGAGAACTAGACAATAGAAGCTAACCGCACAATACACTTGGTCCAACGAAAACTATAATTTCAATCACCAATAAGTAAGTATGAGCTTAGAAAAATGATCATAAAACACGTGAATGGTACTTAATCGAATTCGTCTTTTCTAAGTGTCATGCTTTTCAAGTCAAATCAAATTTAGTCAACTTATTTACCAAAACAAGTTAAAATAACTAAAAGTCCTAAAAAAAATATTCAGTTCAAAATATTACGACCATGGCAAAGAACTGAACAAGAAATCCATTGAAGTACATGAAATAAGTTGCCTTTAGAATAAGGCAACTCAATTTTTTTATTTTTTTTTATTTTTTTTTATAATTTTACTAAAAACACATTTTTTAGTTGTAAAATATACGTTTTATTTTTATATTTAACCGAAAAAAACTTAAAAGAAACACATATATAACAAACATATTCCTCTACCCCCAAACTTAAATAATGTCATGTCCTCGTGACAAATAAATTAAAAGTAAAAGGAGATAAAGGAGCTTCCCTGATTGTTTTTCGATTCTGGCCTCATTCCCTTTTTCTTGGCTTCTCAAGGTTTCTCTCATATAACAAAGACAAGATTATGGCAAAGAAAATGTTCTTTTTCATGATAGGAGAAAACTTTTATTGTCGAAATCATGAGAGTGCTTCTTTATCATTGCAAAATATATTAATACATACTACATACACACACATATATATAATATAATACAAACATGCAATTATTATTTTTATTATTATTTTACTTTTTTTATATAAAAAAATTAATTTTATTATATATATTTACTAAAAAGGAAATATTATATGTCACTACTAATAATTACTTAAAAGATTAAAGAGAAGGGAAGAGTTTAATGTCGCCAGCTCGACTTATTTTAAAAATTAGGCAAAAAAGATTGTTGAAACCTGTTTGTCGAAGAATCTGCTGATATAAGGCTTCAAACGATGACCGTTTACTTTGAATTTATCTCCCCCATCTGCATATTGTCCTTCAATGGCACCATAGGGGGTCACTCCTGTTACTGTATATGGTCCTGTCCAGTGTGACTTAAACTTTCCTGGGAATAATCTCAATCGACTATTGTACAATAGAACTTGATCTCCAACTTTAAAATCTTTATGGCAGATGAGCTTGTCATGCCATTTTTTTGTCTTTTCCTTGTACAATTTAGCATTTTCATATGCTGTAAGTCTGAACTCTTCCAACTCATCAAGCTACAATAGACGATTTTTACCTGCATCTGGCAAGTTTAGATTCAACAATTTTATAGCCCAATATGCTTTATGTTCTAATTCCACAGATAAATGACAAGATTTTCCAAAAACTAGTCTATCATATATTAAATTTAATGCAGATTTTTGCCATCGTATCAGGCCACACATATACGTAAAATTTATGAAGCCTTTTTTCATGAGCCGTGAAATTCCTGGAGAGAAATACTGTATCAGATCACAGTGAATATGTGAAATCAATTTAAGGTAAGAATAAATTAAATTTATGTAATACTTATTATGTTCGTCTAAGTTTTTTTCCCCCAGACTAGGTGCATATGGCAGCCTCATCATGAAAATACGGTGAGTGCTAATTTCAAGAAGAGAGCTCAAAAGCGGATTAAAGATAGTCATTTTGTTGCTAAAATATATGGCAATAACCTTATTGGTTATGTCAAGATGTCTAAGATAAACTTCTGGAAAAGTGAAACACCCTTGAATGACAGAAGAAGAGTGAACAAGAAAAGACAAACATCGCCTCTAGTAAAGGTAGCTCATTGAACAGCGGAGGTTCAATTAATTTTGCGTCCATCGGCTGGGATTGGTAATTTTTTATAAATGTTTTCTTAGTTTTACATATACACACATCGAAACATCGAAACATATATCTATCTCTCACATTTAAATTTTGTAGGAAAAGACAAACCAACAGTTTTTTTTAAAATTCTTTTTAATTCTCTATTGGATACATCAACTTGCCCCTTGAGCATGATATGAAGTTCCTGTTTTATGAGTTACTCCATATCTTGACAATAAACTAGCGAATTGTCTATTTATAAAATGAGTTCCTTGATCACTTATTATAACTCGTGGAGTTCAAAATCTAGAAAAAATATTTTTTTTGAGAAAAGCACAAACAATATGAGCATCATTTTTTCTAGTAGCAATTGCTTCTACCCATTTTGAAACATAGTCAACAACTACCAAAATATATTCATAGCCGTTTGAAGGAGGAAAAGGACCCATAAAATCAATGCCCCATACATCAAAGATTTCACACACAAAAATAGAGTTAAGAGGTATTTCGTCCCTTTTTGAAATGTTACCGATTCTC